AAAAAGAATAGGTGCGACTTCTATTAGGGATGCGGCTTCTAATACAGATTTTACGGTACGTCCTACACTTACTGCTGTATACACTGTTTACTCTTCCAGTCCCATACATATATGCCACCATTTAAGGTAGTTCCAATAACATAGTTACCATCCACGGACCATAGCGATATGGATATATCATAATCAATTCTTGAGTCTTCCAACACACATTTTTTGTCCCAAGTATCACGTTCGTATATTTGTATTTGTTGTTCAACAGGTATTGCCAAGTACTGCAAGAAAATAACAAATCACTATAAAGGCATGTGGATCACCAACATTATGATACACTGGTTCATTGACTTTATATTATCAATTCAATTAACAAGGCATGTGGATCACCAACATTATGATACACTGGTTCATTGACTTTATATTATCAATTCAATTAACAAGGCATGTGGATTTCCAACATTTCTATACACTGGTTCATTGTCTCACAAATAACAATATGACCATTTTCCTAAGACTATATCATAATGGCAATTCTATCTTTTTCCTGCGTCAACCAGGCACTGTACTACACAAGACCATGTTCCTAACACAATGTCATCATGGCAATTCAATGCACTACCCCTGCGTTAACACGGGCACCTATGAACGAAAATCACCAAAAATCTCATCCACATCACTAAGTGTTTATTAGTATTACCAGAGATCATAAGTTTGACTGGCGTAGCATTGACTAGGCTTCTGTTGATGGCTGGCGTAGTATTGACTAGGCTACTGTTGATGGCTGGCGTAGCATTGACTAGGCTTCTGTTGATGGCTGGCGTAGCATTGACTAGGCTACTGTTGATGGATGCTGCTACAGAAGTATAATGCATAGAACTCACCTTTCCGGAAATTGATTGCCACGATATTCTACAAAGCGTTTTTGAAATACTGAAATATTAAAAAAAAAAGTTGAGTTGTATAGATATGATATATTGCGTATGGGATTTTACAATGTAAAGGTGAATGCATCAATTAATGAATTGATAATTAAAAAATTATATAAAGAGCGTTGATTATAAATTTTCTTACAACTCTGCACTTGTACATATGTCAAACTGATAATTTAACTCCAAAACTAATTGAATTGAAAGAAAGATGCTTGTATATGTTTACTTAGAGTCTATACAAGTACATACTTAACTACTGTTGCTAGGTAACAGACAACATACCTGATGTCACTACACTTGGGCAGTAAAGACAGGGATTTTTCACAGTTCTGAAAATGGAAAAAATGTGTCAATTGTTTTAATAGTACCATCTCTTTTTCCCCTTATTTTTTTGATACTTTACAAGCAAAACCCAAAGTCCAATTATTAGCAAAAATAGAAAACTGGTTGTTTTGACTGCATAGATAATTGATTAAACATGTCTGTATAGAAGTTTTGCATATTTTTATCATAGTTGCCTAGATATTGCTAATTGGTTCCTTTTAAACAATTTTCCATCTGTTGTGTTTGCATGCATGCACAGAGACTTGATGGCACACCTGAAGAAAAAAATAATGATGTGCAGTACGTACTGGTATTACTAAATGTACGTGTCCTTAGTAACAACGTTGTCACAGCAAATTGCAACCGGTGAGTGACATTTGTTATAAGATTCAGCATGTAGAACACCATATGGTAAAGGGCTTGTATTGTCATTCATGATTCCCCATAGACAATACACCTCTGTATAAACAATTTAGGAATAAACTGTTGTAACCATTAGTGTCATACACGCTAATATTGACGTAATCACTGGTAGATAACACCGATATATAATCACTGGTCAATAATACTCAAGTAATCACTGATCAATAACACTGACATAATCAATGGTCAATAATACTGACGTAATCAATGGTCGATAATACTGACGTAATCACTGGTCAATAACACTGGTGTAATCACTGATCAATAACACTGACATAAACTATGGTCGATAATACTGGCGTAATCACTGGTCAATAACACTGACATAATCAATGGTCAATAATACTGACGTAATCAATGGTCGATAATACTGACGTAATCACTGGTCAATAACACTGGTGTAATCACTGATCAATAACACTGACATAAACTATGGTCGATAATACTGGCGTAATCACTGGTCAATAACACTGACGTAATCACTAGTCGATAATACTGACATAATCACTAGTCGATAATACTGACATAATCACTGGTCGATAATACTGACTGGCCGATAACACCAACATAATCACTGGTCGATAATACTGACGTAATCACTGGTCGATAATACTGACGTAATCACTGGTCGATAATACTGACTGGCTGATAACACCAACATAATCACTGGTCGATAATACTGACGTAATCACTGGTCGATAATACTGACGTAATCACTGGTCGATAATACTGACATAATCATAATACTGACTGGCCGATAACACCAACATAATCACTGGTCGATAATACTGACGTAATCACTGGTCGATAATACTGACGTAATCACTGGTCGATAATACTGACGTAATCACTGGTCGATAATACTGACTGGCTGATAACACCAACATAATCACTGGTCGATAATACTGACGTAATCACTGATCAATAACACTGACATAATCAATGGTCAATAATATTTGCGTAATAATCACTGGTCGATAATAGTGACATAATCACTGGTCGATAATACTGACAAAGATGAATAGAATCATGAATTTTACAGAAAGATACACTATACATTTGTATGTATAGAGAGTTACCTGGTCTTTTATTTTCCATACTTTCACGGTGCCATCACAACTAGATGACGCTACATACTCTTCTTTTGGGTCTAAACTAACACTGAGTATTGGTGCTTCGTGGCCAATAAACACTTTTTGACTGCTATCTTCAATAGTTACTAACTTTACACCAAAATCACTGAAAAACAAATTTAGATAAAATGCAGAATAAAATTAAAAATAAGTAAATTAAATTTTTTAAAAATCACAAAATCAAAATCAAAGTAAAATAATAAAATATAAAGACATTAATAACAAAAGTAATAAAAAATTAAATTAAAATAAGTTTATAGCCAAAATAATTAAAGCCTGTGCACTACACCAGATTTTAATCAGATTGGTAATTAATATGCATAGATTTGAGTGTAAAACTAATCAGGTCTGTGCATTGTCCTAGAGCATCTATGTACCAAGTTTCATTGAAATGGAATAATTAGTACTTGAAATATCAAAACCTGAAAATTAACTAATTATACAAATTAGGTGATTAATATTCACAAATATTTACCCAAAAATAAACAGGTCTCTGCAAAGTCCTATGTACCAAATTGAAATGTAAATCTGCGCATTAGCCCGAGCATCAAAAACCAACATGTGGTTCTTGAGATATTAGTGGAACGAACAGACACACACACATACAGACAGACAGACAGACTAACTGAAAACGGAAACTACGTACTCTGCTCCCGCCAAGAGGACAGTAGCATCTTTATTGAGATTCATATGATTCACAGGTGCAGTAAACCTGGTCACAATACCATCTGCAGATCCATCTGGGAATGTATGGGCTTGCACTGTGTTTGTATCACTACTCGTGTATAATCTACCATTCTGAAAACAAAGTGAACATTTACAAAGATTAGTCATGTTTATTATTTTTATAGTTTGTTTTGCTCACAGTGACACAGGGCAATTAACTGGCTGAAATTCTAAATATAAACTTGCTATTTAATAATAATAATAACTTATCTTTAAACACAAGACAGCTTTCCGCACCGAGAAAATACACTGTACACCTACAATAACTACAGACAGTCTTAACAGCAGCATCAAAATATTAATACAGCAAGTCTCACAAGTATTTGGGCATGCAATTTGCAAACTTGCTAGCGAATTGGCTAACTGCTCGGGTTTTGACTAAATTAGGCGAGGGTTCTCTGAACCCGCCTATTCACATACGCACCACAGACTGCGGTCAGTCAAAATGACCATTTTGAACTGTAGGCATTAATCAGCGATTCTGCCGGTGACAGAGATAAAATCTAGGTCAGGGGAAGCCCCAGGACCTCAAGATTCTCTTTCCCTTACGTCACGAACCACGTGACCGAGGCCATATGGCAGCGCCATAGACGGCTGTACAAATCACTCTGGTTCCTTTCTCTCCGCATCAAGGACTTAGACCAACGCTACGGAAAGAGTGGGGTGGTTGGGGGGTTGGGGACCACGAGTCTATGGGTGGGTATGAACTATGTGAATAGGCGGGTTCAGAAAACCCTCGCCTAAATTCACTATGTTCAATTACCCATCATAGACTCCGGTCAGTCAAAAAGACTATTTTGAACTGTAGGCAGAGTCAGACGCCGATAGGTGGCGGGTTTTCCCAGTCAGGGATGAAACACTACAAAAATCACTCAACACCCTAGTTAAGACCCAAAAAAGGTGGTGTCTTACATTGCCTGTGCTGTCCCCGGAGCAAGAATCCAAAATGCTGCTACGGTGACAGGGTTCGGTGTGCCAGAGAAAGCTAGACCCCAATCCAATTCTGGGGGGTAGTAAGCTTTCGAAGTAAGACCGAAACAGTTCTGCATGAAGGCATATGCCGCAAAGCAGGACCTGGGAGCTTCCAGGGGAGTGCTGATGGTAGAGAAATCTGTCCGCATAAAATGCCGAGACCGACTTATTGCCTATGCGCAGAGACCCTAGCGGTCGTTCGGGCTGGGTCAGCAAACCAAGACTGACCCGCTATACGACGGGACGCAACCTAGAGAAACCCTTTTCAATAGATTGGTGTCTCTTAGGTGGTAGTTGATAAAGACGTTCTGCGTTCTCCAGAAGCCTGCCCTCCACGTGTGCTTGAGGGGGGCGCCTGACGCTAGCACTAGCAAGTTAGCAATTGCACAGACCTCATGCAGTCGTACTTGGTGTCTTTGCAAGATCTGTGTCGAGGAAGTTAAAGGATTATAGACCTCTAATACAGTCGCAGTAAACCACCTGGTTATGGAAGTTGGGGAGGCCGGCCTATCCTGCCTGCCTGCCTGGGCCATAACACAAAGATATGTGCCTGGCACTCCGTTCCAAATCCTTAGTACGGTTAGGTGGCAACTCCGTGCTCAAACTGGGTAGAGAAGCAATTCCTCCTGACCCTCCGGGCAGACAAAATTTGACAGCCGGGGGATGACGATCAGGTAAGGATCATGTCCAGGGATTCGGTTCTAGGTGAGAAACCCGCTTCGTGTCTTTAGCACAACTTGATTGTCCATAACGGCGGTACAATGCCCCCAGCTCTGGCCAACGCCTACCTGAGGCGAGGGCCAGTAGGAAGACTATTTTCCACGTCAAAAATTTGAGTGGTGCTGATCGGAGAGGCTCAAAGGGCAGTCTGCTTAGAGCAGACAACAAAGCCGACAAGTCCCAGTTGGGCGGCTCTCTTGTATGGGGTCTTGGCGTCTGGAAAGCAGTAAATAGTCTCCTAATAATAGGACAATCGGCTAGTCTTGTTCCAGTACGTTTTGAATGGTGGGGGACAAGGTTGACGATCGCTGCGTAGGACAAACCCACTTCGTCAAACAGGTGGACGAAGGAGCCTGCAACCTGGCCAATAGAGGGATGGTATGGATCAATCTCCCTTCTACTACACCAATCAGTGTATGCTCGCAGCCTAGAAATGTAGGCCGCGTTGGTGGAATCCCTGTTCGCCATGGCTAGGACGTTGGCAGCCTGCTCAGATAAGGTTTTCGTATGTGCGGGTTTACTGAGAGCCTATATGCGTGTAAGTGATACCTGCTGGGCTCGTTGGTAGTGCGCCGTCTGGTTGGGACGGCAGGTCCGGTAAGTCCGGAATCACTGCTGGTGTTTCGACTAGCATTTCCAACAGAAGTGGAAACTAGGCCTTGCTTGGCCAATTGGGTGCGACCAATGATAATATGCAGGTGTGCACCTGTCGAAGTTTTCTCTGGTGCCCGGTGAACTAGCGGGAAGGGAGGAAAGGCATACACATCTAAGTGGATCCAGGGGGTTAGCAAAGCGACCCTGGCCCAGGTTCCTGGAGTCAGCAGGAGTGTTACGAACGTCGAGAGCTTGGCGTTCCGGGATGCGGCAAACCAAAACAGCCGAAACAGCCTGGAGGCTACCCACTGGGGTATCAGTCACTCAGTGTTCAGGAGACGGAGCCATCCTGAAAGGGCATTGCCAGACTGTTCCTTACCCCTGGAAGGTGGTGTGTGGTTAGCTCCACATTGTATTCCAGGCACCAAAGGAGGATTTGCTCCGCTAGGACTGACAATGATGGGGAATGCGTCCCCCTTCCTTCTTGAAGGAGACCACCGCTGCGTTGCCTGTGCGGAGCAGGACTTTGTGGTCTCGAACTACGGGTAGAAAGCGTGGTAGTGCTAAGTACATTGCTCTCAGTTCGAGCCGATTGATATGGTAGTCCCGAAACTAATGCAGGGGCCATATCCTTGGGCTTGTTGGTCTAATAGGGCTTCCTTCACTTGGTCAGAGATCAAAACCCGCCTATCTAGTTCCCATAGGAGAGCTCGGCATTATAACAAGCGCAGTGTTCTCCCCACATAGAACAAAGCATGGCGGCACCGCCATGCTTGGCGACCCGGCCGCCACGCTTGGGCTCGGACCGCCATGCTTACAACTTCACCGCCATGCTAATAGGATGCATCGTTTACATCCATTTGACCCACTCGCAACGTAGCACTGCATAAATTAACACCGTCAACACCACGGCGGTTTGAACTTGCCGGGACAAATTAAACAGTCCCATTGTTAAACACGTGTGAAGTACAGACGCTGTCAATGGGGAACAAATTGTCACTCAAGTTGCAAACACCAAGATGCTATATGACAAAACATGTAAAGGAAAAAAAGGTGATGCCGCCCGGCTAAAACGTACAATCACCGCTAGCACAGCACAGAAACGGAAGCGTGTAGAAACACAGAAACGGCGTGAAGCTGGTTTTGATGAGTCGTGGAAAAAGACATTTCCCTGGTTAAGGTCAATTGTTCAGGTAATATTTCGTAATTTTAGAAATAAAATGCCAGTGTGTGTATGTTTTGCCGATCGTAAGAACACCGAACATGGTAGGCCTACACCGATTTCAATCAACATCTTAGACACGAGGCTGGTATAGACACGACATGAAAAAAAAACATCACTCGTTACTGTCAACTTTTTTTAGATTATTTATGGATATCTTCATAGATTAATGGGTACGCGTATGTTATAATTTGTCCAAGCAAAAAAAAA